GTTTAGAATCACCTCGAGTTTGTTGAGGTACATCTCACAGTCAGAACCAGGTGAACGATACAAACAGACAATAAACAGATTAGTCAACCATCCAAGGACCTTTTTTTTCAGTTATACCTGTAAACCCCATACTTTGTGAGTGGCTTGCTTACATCAAGTCCTACAACTTTTCCTCTACGACTTTTCTCGGAAATGGCACGTATGCGCGCAGGCGACTCGCAAACATGTCGATCTGACGTAGCTATGTTTCCTGATACATGTAGGTAAATCTAATTTTACGAATACTGTTTGATTTTTATGTCTAAATCACGGAAATCAACTTGGCCGACAAAAATAATGGCAAATTGGGGGAGTCCGATACCCCCAAAATGTCGATCTGACGTGGTTATGTTTCTTGATACATGAAAATCTAATTTCACGAATAATGTTTGATTTTTATTTCTAAATCACGGAAATCAACTTGGCCGACAAAAATAATGGCAAATTGGGGGAGTCCGATACCCCTAAAATGTTTGCGAGTCGCCTGCGCGCATACGTGCCATTTCCGAGAAAAGTCGTAGAGGAAAAGTTGTAGGACTTGATGTAAGCAAGCCACTCACAAAGTATGGGGTTTACATGTATAACTGAAAAAAAAGGTCCTTGGATGGTTGACTAGATTCAAAATATTACAATACACAATAGACAGCTCAAAAACCTTATCACTACATAAAAAATTAAATTTGTCAATGTCAACCAAGCTAGAAGCTTCAAGAAAATCGTTCCGACAGAGAACCAAAGTACCACCATTATTGATGACTCTTCTACAATATTTCGAAACAATAGAGTATTTTGAGAAAAAAATTGGTTCCTGTTCTTTGAGTCAGTGCTCAGTCAAAAGAATTATTTGTGGATAACTGACGCTTTCAACAAGAAGCTCAAATTCATTGATTTTAGTTCTAAGTGCGCGTTCACATTGACACCGCTCGAGCGGTGAGCGTTGCGCGATGCCGCTGTAGTGATGCCCAAAAATAATTTTAACATTATATTTCAAATGAACAAGTTCACAATGAGGCGGCGCGTCGCGCGGTGTTAACATGTTCATTTGAAATATAAATGTTAAAATTAGTTTTGGGCATCACTACAGCGGCATCGCGCAACGCTCGCCGCTCGAGCGGTGTCAATGTGAACTCGCACTAAGTGACTGAACATTCAATAGAAGAATACCTAGTGACAGGTTGTCAACTGACCTAAAAAAGTATGTGAGAAGGAGGTGCGAGTCCGGGACTCATGAAGCGCGACTTTGGAAGCTTACATTCGAGTGTGTAGATATAGGTATTGCTCTTAAGACTATCTTACTTTGAACGAAGGGAGTGATTATGTAATGATAGAGTAACTCACACATAGAGCCAAAAGAATGCCGGAAATCGAAAACATCGCAAACATCACTTATCAATCTAATTGATGCACTATTCTTACGGACAAAATCTTCAACAAAGTATACAATATTAAAAAACTTATTCCTAGGAAAATAATTAAAATTACATTTAAAACATATAACCAGGTTAGTAAACCTACCAATTGCCAGAAGTTTTTTCAAACTAGAGTACCCGATAAAAGTTTTATTTAAATTCAAGCACAAAACAACAGTATCATTCACAGAGTGTCCACTAGACAAGGAAAAGAGTGCCCTGATCAAACCAGAAACATTTGATTGACTACCCACATATCCAAATGTGTCATGCAGGGAGCCATGAAAAAGCTCAGCAAGTGTAGAGGAATAATTCCTGGCACTTGCGTCACCACATATGGGTATTTTCTTCTTGATTTGCGTTTTAGGACAAATATCTTGTCGAGTTGCAGCGCAGGTAGCAAAGGCTGGAACAAGTGCAGGGGGACTGATTGGTGTTGAAGAATGCTGCGGCCCATAAGAAGTAACGTCCAATTCTTCTACCGCTAAGGCAAGATCCGCCCCGTCAGTCTGAGTTGATTTAGGAACTTGAATTCTTAGCAAGCTGTGGAGGAGAGGAGTAAAGCCTCGTTCAATATATCGTCATTCACATACGTAACAGTAGCAGCGTCTTTAAAGCAAGTCGATGTTTGGGTAGCTATCGCAGCCCTTTCCCCGATATCAGATTCCGATGCAGAACAGTCTCCAACGACATCATTAGTATTTGTATCACTGATAACAGTCTGAGACTCAATACTTTCAAGAAAATGTATTGTCTGAGTACTAACATCACATTTAGTACTAGAAGATTTGGAGCATGCTGGAGAATCACGATAACCACGAAGCTTTTGCTGGAGCTCAATAGTCAAAGCTTTATATTTTTGAAGTTCTGCTTTATAGTAAGCTTCCATGTCAAATACCTCATCTTCGAAGGCAACTGAGCGCCTTTTAGTCTTCTCGATCTGTCTTTTCAGAAGCTCCAGATTACACTGTAGGTCGGCGTTTTCCGTTTCAAGTTTTTGCAAAGTTTGACTGTCCCTATCATTGGTCCCCTAGTTGGAAGCAGGTGTTCGAACAATAGATTTTTTGCTGCTCAATATGAATCATGTGCTTTTTCCTAGACCAACAAGATTTGTGTACAATTATGTGGCACACAACACAACAAAAGAGTCTCAATCTTTGCTCCTTATTAGGGCAGCATGGAAAGGTCACAATTTCATCCTCAGAGCCCGAGAGGTGATTCATGATAAATTATCAGAATGCACCCTGTATAAAAGAATAATTCTCTCTGTTATAATTTACACACAATAAAGAATAAAAACGGTCCCCTAGGTAGGTTTGTTTATGTTATATTAATAAGCACCAACCTATTGATAGTAGAATTTATTGTTACCCATAAAAACAAACACAAAAAATAAAATTATTAACTTTATAGTTACCAAGATAAACTATAAAACGCATTTTCCACCACCAATAATAATCCTTCAGACTTGATTTCACAAGAGTATAACACAGAAAAATTTTCTCTTCATTTTGACACTAATTTCAATATTTATTTCGAACTACAACTGTATTTAAACTTTATTTTATTGGGAACAAAAACACTCGTCACTCGTCACACCAAGGAATGTGGATAAAGGTAAAATTTGTCACCTTTCAGTGCTATTTGATAGGGAAAGGTGATAAATTTACCTTTATCTTTGGACTACAGATTGTGAATAGGATATATTAAATGCAACGGCAACACCTAGAGCGAATGGCCAGGGTGAAAAGGTACAACCGAACGATTCTATCCTCTCTTTCAGCATCAACGGATGATGAGGAACGATGGGATTCGAATATTTCCAAAATACGATGGGGACTCAATTCTACGGTGAATTCGGCAACGGGCAAGTCTCCTATTACCATTTACTATTTGGATATTCTCCAAGAGGAGTTTGTAACGCAATTCTTGACAACGAAGTCATGATAGAGTCGCAACGCAACCAGATCAAAAAAAGTATAGTAGAGTAGTTTCCATCGATAAGATGAAAGCTTTCAACGTAGAAGTCAGTACCGATTCTAACGACGAATCTGGTTCTGATGACAATCGATAAGCGCTTATTATTACGGTACCTACCTAATGAAGAAGAGCTGAACTCAACAGACCTAGCGTGGCTGGCTGTAAATCTCCACATCACCTAATGTCAACAGTAGCAAGAAAAAACACCAAAAGAAACGAATGAATCACAGGTGGTGATGCGCTCCGTTATGAAATACCTATGAATATAATTTAGTGAGAATAAAGCATTTCTTGAAGTAGAATCGGCTTGTATTTTTCTAATATTTTTCCAAATTTTCCATGTGGTTTTATTCCTAAGGGAGTATCTTAGGCCCTCTCGATATTTTCCATATACACAGCTGATTTTTCAACTTTAAAATTCTGTAATTTGCACCAGTTTGCTGATGATCAGCATCTATACTACTCTTCTTATTCATAACGTCCAACTGGCCATCGAAAACAATAATAGCGACCTGGAAACTATGAACTCTCTGAATAGCTTTAAGACAGAAATGTTGGTTTATGGGAGCCATAGAGTGCAGTTAATAAATCATAATGACTTTAAGAATTGTCTCAATGATACCACTCTAAATGTTTCCAACTATTGTAGAAATCTAGGACTGTGGATGGATTCGGATTCACATTTCTCTCTCACAGATATTCACATGTCTCTACTTTACTTCAAAAGTCTTATATGCCCGTCTAAAAACTCTTTATATTCACTGGAAAACTTTGAGCATAGACATTAAATTTAGACTGTGCGACAATTTAGTTTTGTCACAGCTTGCGTGCTGCAGTGTTGTTTTCTGGCCAGCTCTGCTTCAAAGAGATAGAGACAGTCTGCAAAAAGTTCAAAATTCATGTATTCGGTTCAGTTTTGGTAGGTATTCGTAAATACGATCACATATCTCCAAAATTTATACAATCCGGATGGCTAAATCTCCAGCAGAAATTCGAAGTCCAGCTTGGCTCTCTAGTTCAAAAGGTCAGTAAAACTAACACGCTTTTAGATACTTAGCAGACAAATTAATCAGGTTTGGCTCGTTCCGTGAGTGCTCCACTCGTCATGGTAGCCTATTGAGTGTACCTAAACATAGGACTGCACTATTTGAAAGATCCTTCAGTTACAGTGCAGCAAAATTTTTTAACATGATTCCAAAGATCATTAGGGCGGCCCCGAATGCTTTTAGCTTTAGGAGGCATCTGAAGGAATTCGTCAAATCTAGGTGAACTGACGCACACAGTTAACAGATTCAGTCACTCTCAATGTTCAACATCTGATCTCATTCTTCACATTATAGTATCGTATATGTATAATATCTTGATAAATTTAAATTTCCCAGTCTAAGGTCTATCTGTATTTTTAGTTTTCGAAAGTAATATCTTTTGATCAGGTGGTTATAAGGAAGAGCGTACTTGTACGAATATCGGTCCTCAGCCTTCACCTATTAACACAATTTTTTCAAAATCTTGTTGAATTTCTTAGGGCGAGGAGAATAATATCATCTCAAGTTAATTCTATTTTTTAAAGTACATATTAGTATATTATACTTTATAGCCAATATAATTTTCTAAATGCAGCAATACAATTAAACCAGCCAATGTCGACAATCAAAATGACTTAACTTAAAAAAACATACATAATATTATTTAAACTAACACCAATTATTACTCCATTAAAATCTCTTCAATTGCATTGTCAGTTTCCAAATGGGCTGGTTGCTGAGCCTAAAATTGGTTTGAATAACTCAACTATTTTGCTTAATAACTAGTTACTCACTTGTTCCAAAAACTGTCTAAGTTCCATTTCCAAATCGGGTTCTGGATCAGGCACAACTGGAACCCCCAAAGCCCTTCTGATAGCGGGCACTGGAGCCACAGCTGCAGGAGTGAGTTTTTTTGATAACTCAGTCAGGCCATCAACACATTTTTCGGCTATAGTATTTTCATCACGCGTAGGTCCTGGAATGTTCAGTAAAGAGACTGGAAGAGGCTGAGACAAGCGCTCGTACTGAGTTTTTTGCAGTTTCTCCAATAATTGGCACATATCGTTCAGTTTTTGTTGCATTTCGTGCCTTTCCTCTGCCTGTTTGATTTCTTCGTCCATGCTGTCCAAGAAATTTACGTCAATTCCAAGATCTGAAATATCCAAATGTCATTTTAGTTGTTTTAAATTATTGTTTAATTTTTTACCATTTAAAGACTTGAGTTCATCCACATTTACTTTCACTGAGTCTATTGGTGTGGTTTCCAATACGGTTCTGACAGCTTCCTCTTCATCTGCAATTTGTTTAGATTGTTGCAACTTAATTTTGCAAAAAAAAAATATTTACCTTTAAGCCTTTTACCCTCCTCCAAAGTAGTTTTAGTTTTCGAGTGATCGCCCCCAGTTAAAAGATCCAAAAGCGAATCTACAAGATTTTCAGCATAATCGCAACCTTTAACAAAATCTTGCACAGATTCGGCATATTGAACGGCGTTGTCGCTGCCATATGTCCTCAACACCAAAGCTGATTCTTCTTTGGTCAAATTTGCAAAAGCAGAATCGTGGCTTGGAGCGTACGACCCAAAAGCACCATAATATAAAGGTTTTACTGGGCGAGCTGTGTTTCTTCTGTCTTCTCTAAAACCCTTCAAGAATATATTGAATAAACTAAATGTGCTAGAGATAATTTTAAAGTATTACTTGTAAATGAGAAGTTCCGTCAGATAGTCTGCCGACCAATGAACCAAGAGGAGCCACCCCCTTTTTTTTGCCAATATTATTCCCAACCAAAATTGACAATTGAGCAGAACCATCTCGGCGAGCTCTTATAACACCCATGGATGGACCGTAGCCCTTCAAGCGAGCTCGGGCTAAACGAGCTGCTGCCCTTGCTTGAGAGAGAATCTAAGGAATAAATTGTTGAATAAATTAATAATTTACAAAATAATAAAAATACCTCTTCAGGTGTGGACGGCTCTTTACATTCAGATTTAATAAAATTATCTGTGTCTTCAGGTTTGATCATTGAAGCCCTCATTTCGGGAGTCACTTCAAAACCCAATTCGGCTTCAGTGAGATCAGGAGAAATCTAAAATACATAGTTAAAAAACAACATTCACTTAATCCCAAAAATAATGCAATGTTTCATTTCACTTAAAAAATTACCTCCACATTTTGCAAAACAGTCAAATTTTTAGAAGAATTATTATCCGTATTTTCCCAGTCCATGATTAAACATTTACAATGAGAAACTGAACTGAAACAATTGGCCTGTGTAACCTAAGTAGAACCCGAACCAAAGCCAGACTAATTTTATGGGTTCCCTGAATGGAACCAATAAGAAACCAAATATTATACATGTGTTGGCAGAATCTTAAAATATTATTGCTTGTGACCAATTTGCAATTGAAGCGATAAGAACCCAGTTCTTAGAATGCATTGCGGTGTTGAATATGTTTGGAGTTTAGAAATTTAAATACGAACAAAATGTTTTTTATGAGACTTTACTCAAACAAATTCTAGAATGTAGACGAGATGTTTTTTTAGGCATTCATGAGTCATTTATGTTCCTCTTAGAGGAACGCAAATGCGCCAATTTTACCAGTAACTTTAAAAAACCTTGGATTTATACAGTACAGGGTGATACACAATGTATGACGTCTCTTTAGAATCAAAAATAAAAAGGCAATGATCATTTTGGGCATAATTTCAGCTTATGCGAGTATACATGCTAATTTTCTGACTTAATATTATTACAGGTGATCATAGTTCGAAATTTTCCTTTATACCTACCTACTGTTTTACTTAGTTCATTTTATATAATAATTAATAATTTTAATGAACTCTTCACTTTTCAACTTGAAAATATCTGTAACTGTAATACAAAGCTAATAACATATCATCCCTATAACAGGGCAACCTTTAACCTGCTTTGTAAGTTGAATTTTATTGGGATAATTACTTAGCTCTTTTATAGCATGATTCATTAGCCACAGTCTCTAAATTCAGCTAAATTTCACCAAAAAATTAGATTTTTCAACTTGTTCAAAATGTGAATGAATGGACGAATAATAAGTTTAACAATTTTCTGGAATTGTGCAATTTAAAATAATATTCTGAATGAGGTACAAAACTTCACTGGTTACATATTAAAACAGATTATTATTTTTTGTTATGTTAGATGTTATAGGGATGTTTTGGACAAGAAATACCAAGCCACAAATTTACCTGTAACAACCATCCCAACTTGTCGTGCTGCAATATCTTCTGCCCCGCCAACAGCAATTTTCTGCTCGCCTTAAAATAAACAGTATCAGTGTGATTATACTTCATAGCATTCTCGCACATCAACTGAAAATCGTCTGAAAACTCTTTCAAGTTAGTATACTGGTTTTCGTCGATTTTTTGCTTCATAGAGCTGAAATCCATCGGGTTGGTTATGATTTTAGAGTAGCCAGGAGCGATAGCGTCAGTGACAGGCCATGCAAAAAAGTTTTGAGGGTCTTTTTTTTCTAGCAAAGCTAAAAGGTGTTCTAGGGCTCTGGATAGGGACGTTTTTTCTTGGGCTTTCTTGATTATGCAAGTGCGAATTTCTCGTGGGTTGGGCGAGCGTACCATCGGGTAAACACCTAGTGAGGTGTCCATCGCTGAATATGATTGACCGTCAATAATTTCCTCATTGTCAATATCGTCGCGTTTCCTCTTTTTGTCTTTGTGGTGATGCTTGTGCCTTCTTTCACGGTCTCTATCTTTGCTTTTATCCTTCTTTTTCTTCTTCTTTTTTGATTTCTTGTGATGGGCTCGATGAAAAGCATAAGCTGGATCATTAGGATCTATAATAATTTAGGGATTTTGCATTATTGAAAATGTTTAAAATTAATAAATAAATAGAAATGTTTTATTACCCAACAATAATGCTTGCTCGTCAGTTTCCATCATTGCTTGGCTCAATTCTTCATCGTGATCTGGAGTATTGTTTGAACCCACCTTTAGGAAATCTGTTTGTTAATAAAAAAAAATACTACTCTGAAGCTAAATCTACTCCCAAAAGAAAACATTATACTTACACATGCATATTTCTCAGACATTCCCTGGAAATAAAAATCAGAATCAGTTCATGCAGAATAATTCAACTAATCACCCAAAAAATAAATACTTATCCTACTCATTAAATCAAAGTCTATTAAGTACATAGCTTACAAGAATTTTTTGAAAAAATATTAAAATTTCGGTTAAAATTTAGGTTTTAAATTTTCTTTCAATTCCTCTTCTTAATACATAGGTATTAAGATTTACTGTTGGTTATTATTATTTGTATACATGAACAAATGGGTAACTAAAACACAATATTTCTGAGTGTTTTTATTCCCTCATTGATAGATTATACAGACCAAAGTCAATGCAGAGGATATATTCTGCGAGGAAATGGAATGGTCCTTCCCGCAGAACATTTTTCGATACTGCTGATAGTTGCATGAAAACGTTGTTTATGACATCGTTCAATGTTCGCAAGAAAATACGCGAAAAGTTCGAAATTTGCTCTACAACTATATGTAAAAATAAGTCCTGTTGCTAGAAGGACGCATAGTGCTTTAAATTCCATGGATAACTAACTACCATTTCCGAGACTGTAGGAAAAAAAGGCCCTATTGAAAAGGTACTTACATACCAACAATCCCACTGATTACAGGAAACATCGCACCTTTTCCAAAACTCTAACACAAAACATCAAAGAAATCAAAGAAGCTAAGCTGGCATACATTGACAGCCTAACAAACTTTGAGAACCCCAAAAAACTACACAGGTACACGGTACACATCACAACTAAACACCAGAGTAGGCATTCCTATTTTAAAAAGTCCAAATGGGGAAATATGCACAGACAATATTGAGAAAGCCACCATCTTGGCCAACCAGTTTTCTAAGTTATTCACGACAGAGGCATTAATTCCTGAAGATCTCCAAATAAACTTTGACAGAGTACCAAATGAAATCACAACCATCCAAATCACAACCCAAGACATCCTAAGAAGATAAAATGCCTAAGGTTGCTACTCAGAGCAAAAAAAGCTCCCCGCTGCTTAGAAAGTTACATCGTATTCAAAAAAGGTGATAAGCTAGATGCTGAAAAATACAGGCCAATGAGCTTGCTACCTTATGTAAGCAAAATTATGGAATCCCTGGTCGCAGAGAATCTGGGAAGTTTTCTTGAATAGGAACAATTGATTCCAGTTCAACAACATGATTTTGTATCAAATCGGAGTACCACAACTTGTTTTGACTTCCTCAACAACTGGACAAAAATCATTAAATCAAGTCCCAAGCCAGAGGCTTCTGAGATGAGATTGGGGATTTACTGCTTTGGATTTGTAGAGTCCTAACAACTCCAGTTTGGTTTATAGTATTGGGTACTTACATTTGAGATTGACTTTCTATGTCATAACATGAACAATATACGAAGTTGTTAGGTAGGTACAGATTCATAAGAGACGTTACATTCACATACATGGTACAGTTTAAAACTTATCAAAAAATATTACAAAAACGTTATAAAAAATAATCACACATTAAAACTTAAAAATTAAATGATTTTAAAATAAAATATATAAGACAGACAGCTGTTACTATTACAATAATAAATTAAATAGTGTTATCGTTCGTGAAGATGAAGATGCAATAATATATTGCGAAACGTCGACAATCTGAAATAACAGACTTCTGTTGTTTTATTTCGATCCAATCCCAAAATCCAACCTCAACCAATGATAACTGAAATATTCCAAAATAAGGACTACTAATAAACATTTTCAGTCTGTCATTAAAAAGTCTTTTGAGATTATGGTATACTGCATTTTGTTGTCCTTCTAATATTCTGGGTGGAACTTTGTTGCAGGTTTGTGAACATCTATAGATGAGAGAGTTCTGGCCCTTCGTAGTTCTAGCATAGGTATTTCTAATTTATTCTCTCGTTCTAACATTGTAGTTGTGATAGTCTCTATTCAGTGGGATCTGCACATTTGTTTTAATTAGGTGGTTTTGTATTTTGTACATAGGTTATGCCTGCTCAAATATCTTCAACTGATCAATTTTCAGGTAGGGATACTGCCTGTATATAGTTTCACTGGGTATATAACAGTGCCTAAAGAATATTGCTTTTATTGATTTGTTTTGCAGTCTTTGTAGCTGTTTTATCTGTTCCAGGGTAGCATTTCCATAGCATGGTATTATATACCTGAAGTGTGGCTCGATGAAACTATTCTAGATTAAATATTTTGAGTTTTCACTTAACATATGTCTACACCTCCTCACAGCTCCCAAGAATGGAGCAATTTTTACATGAATACTTTCAATGTGTGCTCCCCATGTCAGTTTGTCTGTTATTATAAGACCTAAGTATTTATATTCCTCCACTTTTTTGAGAATTATGCCATCAATTTTAATTTTTGGGCTCATTCTTCTTTTTCCCACCTGATGTAGGACCATATAGACTGTCTTTTCAACATTTATACCGAGTTTATTGTAGGAAAGCCAATCAAAATAGCATTCTAGATCTTCATTGACAATATTTTCAAGTTCTATTCCATTTTTTCCAGAGTATATGAAGACAGTATCATCACAAAATTTCACATAGTTGGCCCTCAATCCAGCATAATTTAGACTTTGGACATATAGAAGGTACTCTAAAGGTCCTAGTACTGAGCTTTGGGCAATACTGACATACATTTTCAGCACTGCTTATTTCATCATTAACTTGGGCGCACAGGTTTATGCCCACTGAATATGTTTTCAAACTTAAACTTATTAGCAACAATGCAATATCCACAGTATCGAAAGCTTTTTGTAGATCGACAAACACACTTACTTACAACATATCTATTTTTATCCAGTTCACTTGAAATATATTCTAGAAGATCCACTGTTGCCCCAAGTGTACTACTTCTTTTTTGAGAACCATACTGGTGACTAAAGTTAAAGTGCGTATTAATAAATGGGATAAGTCTGGCTTTCATAATCCTTTCTGTAATTTTGCTAAATGAAATGTACTCAGCAGTGATATTGGTCGATAATTATAAAAATCGTCATGTGCGCTCTTTTTATATACAGGCACAGTTTTTGCAATCTTCAGCTCTTCAGGATACTGTCCACTTTCCAGGATGTGGTTGATAATTTCTACTATTTTAGGTCCGATAATGTCAAAAATTGTTTCAGTGTCTTTTTTTGTTATTTTGTCCAAACCAGGAGTACAACTGTAGTAAAATGCTTTCTCTTTCTTCTTCTTGAAACATTACTCCCATTCTGCTATTTATTTTAGTTGCTAATGTCAATCTGATACCTGAAAAATTTCCATTAAAAGCTGCTGCAATATCTGCATCCTTGCTGTATATCTTTCCATCTTTATCCATTACTCGATTTATACTCTTTCTTTTATTAGTTCTATTACAAAGACCATTCAGTACTGCCCACGTTTTCCTGGAATCTTCTTGTGCTTCATTAAACTTCTTTTCCGCATACTCTTTTTGTAATGTAATTTAATTCTAAGCCTATCAAGTTTATTTTTCGAATCTTCAAATTCTTTCTCAGTGTATTCGTTTTGTATTCTTTTCCATCTTACATATAGTTGGTTCTGTTCTTTTAATTTTCCAATGTATGCATTTGTAACCCACAAATTATCATTTCTCACTTTTATCGTGGTCTGCTTAGTACATTCTTTTTTTGTATTGTTTATAAGAGCTGCCAGTGTCTCAAATTTATTACTATTATTCTCATCTATGTTTTCCTGTACCTTGATTTTCCATTTTCTGGCGTCCAGTGTATTTTTTGTAATTTTTTGTTTAGTATTTTTAACTAAGATTTTTTGAGTTCCAAAAATATGATTCTTGATTCTATGGTCAGAAATATTGTGATCTATTTTTATGTTAGTATGGTGGCTGTGTTTGTTGTTCTTGTGGCATTTTGACGACTGATTATATTCTGAATTTTGTATCCTACCTAAGAATTTTTTAGGAGATCCAGGTTAATATCACCAATAAATATACAGGATTTTTTCATGTTTTCAAACAGTTCGTCCACTTCTTGTATAAATAATTTGCTTTTGTTTTTTGGAGGTCTATATACATCAAAGACTCTTATGTTTTACTGTGGTAAATACCTATACAGAGACCAGGACAGATACCATGCTACAATTTGTCATACATATTGTTGATTTGCAGTTCAAAACGTATTTTATTTTCTACTTAACTATTATAGATTCATAATACCTAGGAAACGAAATATGTTAACATACCTATAACAACCTGAGGGCATTATAAACCCAGCGGGCGTTATGATCCATAACGCCCGCTTATAATATTAGGTCTGTTTCTGCAGAAATCACAAACCAGTCAGAGTGAATTTCATTGGTTGAAACTAGTTTCCTGACTGTTTTCAGCGAGGGGCAAACCGCTGCCGGTTTTTTGGTGTACACTATCATGGTATTTTTGGTAATATTTTGGTATTTTTGGTAATATTGTATTTTTCAATAATATTTGGTATTATTTGGAAATATTTGGTTTTATTCGGTATTATATGGTATTTTCTTTGGAATTATTGGTATTTTTTGGTAATATTGTGGTATTTTCTGGATGATTATTCAGTATACGCATGCGCAGTCACGTCTACTTGAAAGTTTGACGGAATTCTGGCAACGTCGCGACTCTGTCTCTTGAACTTCAAATGCCCTACAATTTAACATAAACAGAGATGAAGTAGTGTGGCCTCACGTGTTGCCGTGAAGAAAGTTATATATGGCCTAAGCAAGACGATATTGCTGACATCGACCAAGAATTTATATTTTATGGTTCTTTAAAGTTAAGTGGAACGGGAGGATTTACCCTGAGAAGGTTAGTTAGGTCCTCGGTTAGGTCAATATAAAAAAGAAAATAATCAATACCTACTTATGGCCAATCATTTGACACCTTATGTGAACTTCTGCTTGTGTAACATTCTGGTTTACAAGGAAACCAATAATCGCTTGTGGTGTGTTTTTGAAAAAATAGCCTTATTAGGCGATTCGAATCAGATGATAATTCAAGATGGCGATGCGGCACGAAAA